TTTGAAGTTAGCAATTCTTAAATTTTTTATCTTAGAATCCCTTTACACTTAAAATTTACTGAGAATCCCAAAGAAATTTTGTGGGGACAATATCTATTAATAGGTACCAATTTAGAAATTAATACTGAAAATTTTTAACTATTAATTTGGCAACATAATGTAAATTACATGCTATAGGTTAACATAAACAACATATTTTTATGAAAGGTAACTATTTTCAAAACCGAAATAATACACATAAGGAAAGTGGCACTGTTTTACATTTGTACAAATTCCTTTACACCTGGCTAAGAGAGAAGATAGCTAAACTCTCATATTTGCTTCTCTATTAAATCTGTGATGACATCTTATACCATGTTGCCTCTAGAAAACCCCACTGTATGCTCATGAGAGAATGGTAGTGAGAAAAGCAAATAATGTGTTGAGAACGCCTCTCGCACCTTGACGGCACTGTCTACACAAGCCCATTTGTTCTGAGCATCCCGGGCACATGCCTTGTAAGCAATGAGTCTGACTTCCAGAGCTCCAGCTGAGCGGATTCCAGCAGTGGTGCTAGAACAGCTGCAATTGCTTATCTAGTTTACAAAAGACTTTATGTTGAAGACCATTGCCGTAAATCTACAGTAAACATCCACATCCAGAAACGTGAACCCCAGCCTGTGCTGCCGTTGGTGGTGGTCCAAAAATTTCCACTCTATGATGGATTTCACACAAAACACAATGAAGAAACTGGAGACGATAGGAGACCTCTGATCGTTAAGAGAAAAGAAATTTAAATGGACAGTTTTGATACTGCAAACCAGTTTTTCATGATGTTATCTAACTGATGTGTTGTTATTGTTGTTTTAGTTTTTATGATTTAAGTATAGTTGACACACAATGCTATAGTTGAGTTTCAGGTGCACAAAATACTGATTTGACAATTGTATATATTACGTAATACTTAGTATGGTAAGTATAGTCACCATCTGTCACCATACAGTTATTACAATATTATCGACTCTATTCTTTATGCTATCCTGATGACTACCACTTCTGTCTACTGCACCTGCCCTGGGTTCTAGATGGGTATAGTGCAAACTGCTGCTTTCCTATTCATGGCGTTTACCTTATTTGTTACATCATGGTACAAATTTGTTTAAATTTAAAGAAAAGGACAAGGAAAAAAACAACCTCATGGCCTATGAGTTATTTTAGTTCTGTGAGAATCAGTTTCTTTATATTTCAAATAATGACATTAGAATATAGTTGTATGTTTAAGTTAACATACTAAATTACTCTCAAATTTAAAAAAAAAAAGAAGGAAAGAAAGAGGAAGGAAGGAAAAGAAAAAAAGAAAAACATTTTTAGCCTTACAGCTGCCTCCCAATAGTCCCTGATGATACTTTGAGAACCAATCATGAGCTTAAGGGATCAAATTTGTCAGTTCGAACTGTATGGCATATATGGCTTGAAGCTGGAAGGAACCATCCTCCAAATCAACAGAGAATGGGGGTAAAGCAAATCTCCCCTCCATACCCCTGCACCAGCCTGTTTTCCCCCAGCAAGCCAACAACCTGGACCCTGATGGAGGGACAGAGTGTAGGGCAATCTCAAAAGCAAATTGCTGTGTAAGAAGAAGGGAATTTATTGGTCTGCCTCTTGGGGCTTCCCCTTGCACTATGCGAAGGAAAAGTCTTCATTGTGGAGTCTTGGGCAGCTCTAGAACACACAGAAAGGACCGGAGGACTCACTCAGTGGCTTAGGAACGCAGAAAAATCTAGAAGTTTGTCATATGACACACATGTGGAGAATAAATAAAAATATATTTACTAATCAAAATATAAGCAAACAAACAAAACCTCAGGCCTTCACATGGACTCAAGAGATGCTCCTTCACCTGACCCCTCTGCCAACATCCATGCTACCTAGAAGATTCTGCCGTGCAGCCCCTCTCACCTTCTTAAGAAAACCTGTCTCCTACAGGAGGAAGACTCACTCCCCGTGATGTGATTTTGGAATACAGGTGAGGTTTGCTCGGGTGAGGTCTGGAGCCGACAACCAAGAATTCCCGAGGCATCTTTGGTGCAAAATAGTGGTTTATTAAAGCATGGGGACAGGACCCGTGAGCAGAAAGAGCTGCTGTCCCAGGGTTGTGAGGGGTGGTTGATTATATATTATGGGATTGGGGGAGTTAAGGGAAAAGGGAGGTTTCAAAAGAATTTTTCTCAAAACGCCACTAAGGGTTTTGTAAATTGAGGTAGACTCAAGTCTTCTAGGATTTTGGTCTCTATAGGTTAACTATTTGTTTTTCATTTAGGGCAGCCAGGAGTGCATGAGGAGTGTCACATATCTCATGTTGTGTGTGGGGGAGGGGTGGAGGGGGAAAGGTTGTGCTTCTGCTTTGTCCTCAGCTTGTCCTCTGTCCCCTCATCACCTGGACCCTCTGAGTTCCCAGCCTTGAGTGGTGCCCTAATTCCAGCCAGGTGAACACAGGTGTTCCCCTCTCCCAGTTAGATTCCTTTGTTAGGAATCGCTAGTTGTCCTCACCACACCCAGGTATTGGTTTTTTACATCAATCCTTGTAACTGCCCCCCCCCTTACTTGCATAGACGAGTAGGGAAGGACACCCTAAAAATCTGGTCCGACCTTAAGTGAATAGAAAGTTGTAACTTCAAGGCACTGACCTAAGTCTTTGTTACTAAAGAGTGGCCACTAGAGGAAGATGGTCCTTCAGCTTGACAGGACAGCAGAAGGGATCCCCACATCTTCTGTATTAAAAAGCCTCCAGCGAACAGGAGTGTGAAGAAAGAACTGTTCACTCCCCTGCAAACTAGTGTAAGTAAAATTTCCACTAACAGCAGACCTGACAGTATTTGGCAAAATATGCCAATTCCTTAAATTGATTTTAAATTTTCCAGCCTTTGAAAATATTGGTTGTCCTTCTTTCGTGTACTTGCCATCAGTTGTCCGCAGGTACCCACCAAATTTTAAGAATGAGAAAAAACGATCTTCCCTTCACAGCATGTGGGTAAGAGAGCAAAGGTCAATGGGGGAGAGAAGGCAAAAGGTCACCAGACTTCCATAGCAAAGCCAGACGTGGCTGTCTCTGCCACACCTGCCTGTGGTGTCCTACATAACACAGGCTTGGCTGAACATCTGCTGCGGGTAATTTTGTCTAGTGAAGTCCCTGGAGGGGGGCGAGGGCTGGTTTCTGAGGCAGCTGAACATCAGTAGTCAGGGAATTCAATTTCCTTCAGGTGAAAGCATGAACACTGGGAGCAATAAGAAAATTCTAGAAAATTTCCTTTACTGAGGGTTGGACCCCAGGACAAGGAAATGAAGCAGAAAGTGGAGCTGGCCCTCAAGGGACACAGCTATATAGGCACACTGTTGTATAGTTGTTTCCTTGAACTCAGGATACTTGTGCTGAGTAATCCCTTTAAAATTATTTCCTCCTACACTGTAATCTCGGGTGGCCATCCCATCAAAAGGGGCTGTTTCACATGCACAGCCCTGTGCACCTGGGGGAGACAACGGTACAGGCAGTCGTGGGAGGCAGACCACAGGCAAGATTGATCCCTTCCTGATACCCTGTTTTCCTCTGTCATGTCACTTTTTTGTTATACTAATGCATCGTGCTTGGTTCCAGGGGGGTAAAAATCTTTCTCTCCCTATGCCATAATCCTTACCTTTTTCATCCACTATCTTTAGGAACCTGAAGGGCAAAAACTATCTTTTTAATGTCAATTTTTCATCACTTAGCATCACCTGGCATTCAATCAATACTTAAATGGGGGAGGGGGAGATAAGATATTTTCTTCAAGGAGAAATCATTATATGTGTTCGGTGCCAAATAATTAAGGTAACAAGAACAAAGAGAACCAATAAAGACTGTTGTTAACCATATTGTGATTACATAAATGGCAAGATTTATTTGCTTGTGCTTTTACTATGCATGTTACTTTCCCTGGCAATTAAGTTAATCCTGGAGAAATCTTTCAGGTCAATTAAATAGGTGGATGATTAAGTATGCTTAACATTACCTCTTGTTACCAAAGATATGTTTATTCAAACAAAGGGTCTGAAATAAAACGTGAAGAGGGAAGGGAAAAAAAAAAAAAAAAAAAAGGCCTGTGGCTCCTCCTCCAGACACCCCCCTCCCAGCTGTGATGAATAGGAGGGACTGTTTCCCCCTGCCCCTGGGAGACACTATCCTTGCAGTGTTGTAGGCTGTTTTGAAATTCTTTTCTTTAGAAATTTTTTTCCTTAATATCAAGGAGCCGCTGCTGCTCGCGTGGCTGGCGCACCGGGGCCCGAGGACAGCGGCTGAACCTCCCGGCCGGTGAAAATGCAGATTGATGATGGCGCGTCTAGGGTCGCGCTTTCCCTGGTCTGCAAATCGCACACACCTTGAATGACAGCGAATTATTCTCTACAGGCTGCTCCTGCGGGAAGAGCCACGCGCGGTCCTCCGGCTTTCTCTAGAAAATCCCGAGAGAGTCTCGGACGCAGAAGAGGAGCCGGGCGCGGCGACCCCGGGAGCGATTCCAGAGCCTGGGGACTCCGGCCCCTGCCGTGCACGTCGCCGCTGACGAGCTGTGCCAGCCGCGGGTCCCCGTCCCCGCGAGGCCGCTGCCCGAGAGCCGGCGGCGGCAGCGAAGGGGCGATGCGGAAAGGCGTGAGCGGACTCTGAGCTGCCCGGCGCAGCGGAGGGTCCGGCCCGAGCGCTCCTCGCGGAGCCTGCTCACTCCCGGCTGGGCAGCTTGACCCGAGCCGGCGGCACCGGGGATCGGCGGCCCAGTTGGCGTCCGGGCGGGGCCGGGGCACCACGTGGAGCACAGCAGCTGCCGCCAGATGTGCCAGCCACCCGCTGCGAGGCAGGCCCCCCGGAGAGGCTCCCGCCAGCTCCGAAGCCCCGCTCGTCCTCGCCGCTGGCGGCCTTCGTAAAGGGAGCCCTCGGCCCCCGCCGGGCAGGGTCCCGGAGAGAGGCAGCGGCGCGAGCACCCACCCTGGGGCTAGCAGAGCGTTGCTCGAATCGAGGAGCCTCGGCAGGAGGTTTGTCCCCGCCCGCCCGCCGTGCTGCGCGGCCCCCGTGAAAGGGAAAGAGCGCGCGGCTGAGATGGGCGAGACCATGTCAAAGAGACTGAAGTTCCATCTGGGCGGGGAAGCAGAGATGGAGGAGCGGGCGTTCGCCAACCCCTTTCCGGACTACGAGGCCGCTGCCTCCGCGGTGTTCGCCGCCGGAGCGGCCGAGGAGACGGGCTGTACTCGCCCCCCGCCCACTACCGACGAGCTTGGCCTCCCTTTCCACAACGACGGAAAGGTGAGTCGGCGGTCGGCTCTGGCCGGGCCTTGGGCCGCGCCAGGTGAGGGGGGGTGGTGGCGATGGTAGCTTCCACCCGTCCTGCCCCGCCCCGCCCCTAAGGCGCGCTGACGTCACCTCTCCGCGCCCGGTGTCGTGCGTGGGTCCCACCCTGGGAGCTGGAGGGAATCGGAGAGGAATGGCTTCTGGGCGCGCTTTCTCCGTTGGCAAGCTGCCCGGCTTCCGGGAGGAAGGGTTATAGATTTCTGTTCTGTTAACGTGCGTTTTGATAGGCGCCTCCTGGCCTCTTTTGCCTTTGAAATACACTGATGAAGCTTCTGTTTCTTGGCACGTGCAAGTGAATATCAGGGCTGTAGTGGCGGTCGACGTGCAGGTGTATTTTCTGTCAGGGGCCCTCGCACGCCCTCCAATCTCTGGAGCTGCAGACGTGCCCCCTGACGATCTGTTCCTAGTCTCCCTGAGGCCGATTTTAATCGGGTCTGGCCCCTGGTCCCTGCCCTTGGTATTTACCGCAGAGGAACAGCAACCAAAATACTGTTCATAAACAGTAGCGTCATTTGAATGGGTCTTGTCTGAGTGCCCAGGACTTGCTTATTTGAACAAATGTTCACTTCGCAGAGGAAAGTAGAAATAAAGGAAGATGTGAATATCAGCATAGCTGCTCATGTTTGGTAAAACCTGACGTTTACCAGTTAGCCCCCCCGCCCCCCCGCAACTGATCTAAGTGTTCCAAGTCCCACTTCACCTCCCTGGTTCCCCATGTATTTTGTATTCTTACTGCATGTCACAAATAGCTTAAGAGTAGAGAGAAGAGGTTTTCTTATATCTGGAGGAAAAAAATATTAAGGATCCACTGATGTTTCAAAGAAAAAGTTGTAATTCTCATCAGCTCAATCAGTCCCGTGTTGTTAATTCTTGTACTGCTCCAATCCAGTTTTTTTATTAGTTCTGGAAATTATTGCGTAGTTCAGTTTTATGATCCTAAAGTTAGGTGAAATCTGTGTTCTAGACTATTTGTCAGAATTTTTAGCGTTGTGTATCTCTCTGAAGATGAAGCACATTTGCGAAAGCATCAGAGTAAGACAATGACTATAAATGAGCAAAGACTTAAAACAATGGCCATGGTTAAAGATGCGATGAAAGTTCATTTGATAAGGAAATGTAGTAATTTCTGCGGTGTGAAACAGTTTAAGATAATTGGACATATTGGAACATACATCTGTACACATACATCTGTTGGGGTGGAAGATCTTGCTTTGCCCTATTGTCCTTATAGCTGGACTTAGATCGACATAAGAGAGATTAAGAGGAGTAAATCAAATTTAATAGGTGTACTTACAGGGAATCCATATGAGCTGGAGATTTCTAAGACAGTGAGGCAACAGGAAGCCTATATAAGCTAAGTAGAGGTGGAGGGGGGCCTCTGAGGACAGAAAGGGGGAGAAAGACCTTTAGCAAGGAGGTGAGAGGGGATGTTTGGAAAAAACAAGGTTACCATATAATACAGATGAGTTCCTTAAGTAAAGGGGAGTCTCTTTTACTAGCTCTCCTATTGCAGTCTAACCTTTCCAATGTAAATTTAGGCAGTTGTGGGGGAGACCAAGAGCTTTTCCTGCATCTGCTGGGTTTTGATTACTTTTTTTTTTTTTTAAGATTTATTTTAGAGCAGGGGGGAGGGGAGGCAGGGGAGGCAGAGGGAGAAGGAGAAGCAGATTCCTTGCTGAGCAGGAAGCCCAATGTGGGGCTCCATCCCAGGGCCCTGAGATGGTGATCTGAGCCACCCAGCCACCCCTGGATTTTGGTTACTTTTAACTCAAAATAGTGTTCATGCAAAAGTGGCCCATCTTAAGGCTGCCTCCTCTTGGCCCCTACACACCCTGGGAAGGTTTATCATCACTTATTTGTCAGTGTTCCCCATGTAATTTAACACACCAAATAAACGTATTTCATTTTTTATCTCTGCTTTACAAGGTAAGAGACAAATCCTTGGAGATTTTCCAGGGACCCTCAGAAATCTAGGTTGTTTTAATGTCAAACATACCATTTAGAATTTGATTTTTGGCAAGTTGCCAAAATGTCAAAACTTTGGAGCATTTGACTAAATAGGATCATAGATTATGATGAAATAATACTTAGCGATTCACATAACCACGGTGGCAACACAAGGTTTTAAAGGCAAATTCACAAGGTTGTGGAGTTGAGAACAAAACTCAACTCTTACAATATTGAAGACTCAGTGCTCCAAAGTAATCAAAATCTTGATAGAGACAACATTAAGCACAGAAAATTACTTTGATAAGATATACAATCTTTGCTTTCTGGGCCGATTACTTAAAAAGTAAAGACAAACCTTTCACAGCCTCTTCATAGACCAATAGTCCAAGAAAAGTTCCTTTTAGCAGGGAGAAAACCAAATTCTAATCTTGCGTATGTCCATTTGATATTCAGACTCATTCTTTAAAAACTTAAATTCATTCCAATCTTAGCTTGCTTGCTCACACAGAAAATTCCTTTTCCAAGACTCCTTTTCCACAACCTTCCCATCCATTCAGGTTTTATCTCTTATCCTGGAACAACCAGTCATTTTACTAGGACACAGTTACACTTTTTTTCTTTAACAAAAAACATATCTTAACTTATCCAAAAACTTGTACTTTTTCTTAGCCTACTTTTAATACAGTTGTTTCCTTTTAGTCTTGTTATTTCTTTTAATTTTAGTCTTGTTATTTCTTTTAGTTTTAATGATGTGTATTGATTAGGATTCTTAACCCTTAGGGACCTTAATTTCTAGTGAAGACTAAGAAGTAAACAATTATGGATTGTCTGTTCCGCAAGCATTCTGTGAATTGGCTAGTTAATGAATACATTTTACAATTTCTAGAAGTATATTCTTCCTCATGGTAGCTTTTTCAATGGGGCAGACCTGTTTACCAGTGGCTCCACATGTCTTTCGTTCCTTTGTAATAAGCCAAAAGTAGATGAACCTGTGTTCATTAATCATGTCTCAGAATTCCAGCACTTTGAATAAACCATCCTAGTCTCAGCCTGTAAGATTTCTGCTGAGAAATCCCATTGGAGGTTCCTTTGTAGGTTATAATCTTTTCTCTTGCTATCTTTAGGTTTCTCTCTTTGTGTTATGTTAGAAGGTAGGAGAGGGATAGTAACGTATCCCCTGATGTGGGAAACAGAGACAGAAGAAAAGAAAAGAAAATATTAAATATCATTATTACTCACAGCCCACTGACAAGTCCTTGAAACAGGCAGAGTGACATTCCTCTAGGGACTCAACTGCCCCAATGCCAACACATTGCTAAGGGCAAAAGGCCCACTTAGCCCAACTCCCCTCCCCATCCTGTAAGTCTGCTTTAACATATAAAAATTTCTTCAGAAATTTTCCTTTATCTCTAAACCCCATAAGATACGTGTTGGCAATCATCCCCCAAATGTATGGCCCCTGATACGTATTTGAAGGGTCTCATGACTAAGGTTTTATTAAACGGTAATAAATGACCTTTTCCCAGCAATGGCTAAGTGACTTTAAGGTCCTGAAAATCTTGTTTTCAAAATTCCTTAGACTAACGCTATCCCTAAGCCCCCTTCTAACTTGTAGGTATATCATCACCACCCCTCATGACCTCATTGCAACTTTTTCTGCCCACGGGTCCTGTCCCCACAAAACCACCTCTCTGCACCTGTGACGTCTCAAGAATCCTTTTTTGGCCCTTGGCTTCAAACCCTACCATCTTTCCTACATCATCCCCCAAATGGAGGACTTTGAGACTGGGAAACAAAGCAGGCAACTTCATACAGTTTACAAGATTTTTATTCAGGGGAACTTACTGATGGGGGATCAGGTGGAGGATGATCCAGTCACTTTGTAGTCATTCTCTGCAAAGTCCAAACATTAGTTCAGAGATTTTATAGAGGGTGGAGACACAGAAGGGCCCTGTAGAGAGACCGAAGTGTTTGCATGCATTTCAGAGGGCTTGCATGTATCTGATTGGCAGTTAATCTTTAATTACCTCTTATGGCATCACCTGAGCCTCAGGATGGGGTAAGACTATGTAATCTCTAACAGATTCATGGGAGGCCAGAGCAAGCCTCCCCCCATCCTGGCCCTGATGGGCATTTCTAAGGTGTGTGTATTGATCTCCAAGGGGCCCAGAGCATGTAGCCTCAAAAGAGGTCATCAGGTGAACAGGAAGAACAAGATGGAGGGCCAAAGATGGAGTCAGTGTTGTCAGCACTCCTCTAGTCTGATCTTTAATAGTTTTATTATAATGTGTCTTAGACAAGGACATTTCAGATTAAAATAATGTGGTGATCTCTTTATTATGTCCCAATGTTTTCCCAGGTTTGGGACGTTCTCTGCTATCTTTTCTTTAAATAAGGTTTCTGCCCCCTTCTCTTTGTGGAACTGATTCAGATACTGTTGTTTTGTTTTGAAGATGTCCTAGAGATCACATAGGCTTTCTTCACTCTTTTTGATTTTTTTTTTCTGTCTTCAGACTGTGTTGTTTCAAATTTCCTATCCTCTCACTGATTTTATCTTCTATTTGGTCTACTATGCTTTTGATTCTCTGTGCTGTGTCTTCTATTTCATTAAATTCTTGAGCTCTAGAATTTATCTTTGATTCTTTTCTATGATTTCCATCTCCTTGTTAAATTTCTCATTTTGGTCATGTATTTCATTTTCTGATTTCATTGAGTTTTCTTTCTGCATTTTCTTGTAGTTCATTGAGTTTCCTTAAAACAGCTATTTTGAATTCTTTATTGGGTAAATCATACATTTTCATGTCTTTGAATTTGGTTAGTGGAAGATTATTGTGATCTTTGGGTATATCATGTTTCCTTGACTTTTCATTAACCTGTGTCTGAATCAGAACACATCTGCAGGAACTTTGTCCCTTTCATGCGCTCTGCTCTGGGAATCTTACATGCTACTGCCTGATTTTCTTCTTCTCCCCACTTGTAGAGCTCAGGTCAGTAATGCTCTGGATGCCGTGAGATAAAGAGTCTCTTCAGCAGAGTCCTGCACAGATTTGAAAACTAGGCACTCGAGGGCTCTCCCTTTCCCTTTGGGAGAAAACATGGACATCTATTTCACCCTATGCTGTTCCACCTTTGGGAAGGAGCGATGCTGATAAAGACAAGCTCTTACCCAATTTAATGCACACAAACTCATTTTTTTTTTTTTTTTCCTCTAATGGACTGTTGGAACTTTTGCTCTGAAACCCTGGACTTCTGCAGAGGTTTTTGGATCTGATCTGATTGCTCAGTTCGGGGTTCTGCATGCACTCTCGATCACAGCTTGGGGGCAGGGGCGACGACTAGTTCCCAGTCTCCTGTAGGTTCCATAGCCAGTACGAAAACCCCTGCTTATTACCTGGTAGACTGGTGGGCTGGACTGCCCATGGGTCCTTGGTGTAAGGTGCTGGGTTCCACAACTCACACAAAAGCACTTCTGTTTGTGGATGGATGCCTAATTTTTATTGTTCAAGGGAAGACAAAACAAGGGATGCCTAATCTTAATGCTGTGGTGATGCTGACGTCACCCTGGTTGAGGCCTTTAATGTTTATCTCTTAATTTTTTCCTGAAGTTACACAAGGGGCTTCTGGATCAGAGATTTTTTATTTATCAGACAAGACTATAACCGGTGAGTGGTTCCACCTGTCTCAAGTCTTCCCTGTGGGGCAACACAGTGAAACCTAGGTCAGATGTCTTCCATGTGCAAAGTCTATGTATTGTAGGCAAATAAGGAAGAAGCTGAACCTTTCTCTGCTTTTTACAAATGGAAAAGAGACAACTGTCTTCCCTTCTCCTTCTGGGAGAGTTTCATTGGAAATACCACACTCTAAGTCTTTGGAATGTAAATAGATTTCTCTATGAAAATGAGAAGCCCTGTTCTCTACAGTTGTACAACTCAGAAGTATATCCCTGTGTCACCGCCTCATCCCCCCTGAAATATAAACACATACCTCCAGGGTCAAGTAAACCTCTCTGGACGCCTTACAATGTATGCAGTTGTAACTTGATTCCTAAGGTTTACTTTTAGTCTAGAATCCCAAATTTCAGGAAATTTGCCTTGAAAGCCCGAACTGTGTAGTAACACAAAAACATTTCCTCCTGAGTCTCACAGAGGAACATTTCATTATAACAAGTCAATCTGTCAGGGTATGCACAGTCATACATTTGTGTCTAATAACAGAACTACAAAATACATGAAAGCAGAAAATAATCATTAAAGGGTTAAATAGGAAATTCCACGAACATAGTCATGGATTTTAATATACCTCAGCAGTTTCTCAGGCAGCTAGATTGTACAAATCATAAAAGACATAAAAATCTGAACACTATCAACTACTTATCTGAGAATACTCAGTTTCTCTTGAGAAAGGCTCTCAGTGACTAAGAATACTTGTTTCCTTTGCTCTTAGCAGCCTTGGGACTTAATATTTTTAATATTTTTTATTGTTCTGATAAGGCAAAGTCTGGTACTCATATGTATTTGAACTTCATTAATTGCTAAGGGAATATTTTATATGTTTGTCATTTGATATTTTTCTTTTTATAAGGTACATCAATAATTTTAGGTCTATTTCTGTGTTGTTGTCTTTTTTTACTAACAATGTTTTATATTGCAGCTGTTTCCCCCTTGTCAGTAATTTTTAAGCCATCATTCTTACTTTCTTTAACTTCTAGAAGTTAACACGTTTGTGTACTCAGTCCATCTTTTTTGAAAAAATTTTTGCTTTGGTTCCTACAACTTATTTTTTGTAATCCTACCAATGCCTTGTAGTCCACACAGGGCATTACCTCATTTAAGAACTTAACCTACAAAATTAAGGGAGACGCCCTCTCACCAGTGAAGCATTGACATGGGCCAAGTAATCTGTTCTGTAAACTTAGATTATTAGAGTATTTATTGTAACATTGGCCTGTTCTTGTGCAACTTAAATTTCTGTATTCTTTTGGTTCTCAGATCATACATAATTTCACGAGGCGAATCCAGACTAAAATCAAAGATCTTCTGCAGCAAATGGAAGAAGGGCTGAAGACAGCCGATCCCCATGACTGCTCGGCCTATACTGGTTGGACAGGTACGAATGTGGGATACAAGTAATTGGGATGTTCTATTTTGGGTTTATACCACTTCGATTAAAATTTTTCTTCTTTGAAAATGGTGACATTTTTACCCTTTATTTTTTTTAAGATTTTATTTATTTATTTGACAGAGAGAGATCACAAGTAAGCAGAGAGAGAGGAAGGGTAGCAAGCTCCCTGCTGAGCAGAGAGCACGATGCGGGGCTCGATCCCAGGACCCTGAGACCATGACCTGAGCCAAAGGCAGAGGCTTAACCCACTGAGCCACCCAGGCGCCCTAGGTTTTACCCTTTAAATGAAAACTTGAACTTACTCAGTGATGAGATGTTTTGGAGTTTTATTTCTAAAGAAATCTTCTCCACTTGAAGTTTGGTATGTAGTATGTTCTAATTTTATAGCATTATTTATTTGACCGAATATATGGGTATCTGTGAAAATGCATAATAAGAGAAAGCTTGCCCTCGGGTCAGTTTTTTGTTTGCCTTTATTCCTTTGATCTTTGGGACAAGTTGTAGTATGTGATTTCTCCATTATGCATAAACTGTTTAACCTTTTGCTTGTAGTCATTAGACTCATTTGTACACCTAAAGATTTTGATTTTGAATTTGGTGATAATAATTGAATAAGCAACTTGTAATATACACACCTACCTCAAATAACTCAATTTCAAAATTAGCTTGCTTTATCTAATCTTTACATTCTTATTACTTTACTATATAGCCAGAACACATTGTAATAACTCTTTAGGGAGTGTAAAAGAAACAAAAGATCATTTCCTGAGAGATGAGGCTGCAGTATGATTACCGCTAATAACAATTTCCGTATCAATTTGTAGCCCTTGTTATTATAGTTGAGCCAATGAACAGCACAGACGTAAGTATTCATGTTAGAATCACTGAGAACTGATAACTGCTTTTGCAGCGTACAACCAAACATGATGGCCCTGATCTTTTTTGTGTGTTCATTTTTATAATTTTTTCTGTGCTGCTTTATTTGTATTTGCCTGTTCATGTTAATATAACATTTATGTAATGACATGAAAATTAAATTTTTCAAACTATTATACTCAGGAAGACATGGAGCTAGTTCAGCTTACAGAACCAAAGAAATTCACCTTTAAATGTAAATTTAGATCATTTTAGCTAACTTAAACCAAAATGCAAAGAAGGATTTTTTAAAAATATTTTTTTTATTTATTTTTTAGGGAGAGCCTGTCAGTGGGGGGAGGGGCAGAGGAGGGGAGAGAGAAAGAGAGAGAGAATCTCAAGCAGGCTCCCTGCTGAGTGCAGAGCCCCACACAAGGTTCAATCTCACGACCCTGAGATCATGACCTGAGCTGAAATCAAGAGTCAGATGCTCAGCTGACTGAGCCACTCAGGAGCATCAAGATAATTTTAGCTAACTTGAAGTTAAAAAGCAAAGAAGGATATTTTTATCTATTTGTTTGTTTTAAGATTTTATTTATTTGAGAGAGAAAGAGCATGAACTGGGAGGGAGGGGCAGAAGGAGAAGGAAAAACAGACTTACCACTGAGCAGGGAGCCCAATACAGGACCGGAACCCAAAGCAGGACTTAATCCCAGGACCCAGAGATCATGACCTGAGCTGAAGGCAGATGATCAACCCGACTGAACCACCCAGGCGCCCCAAGAAGAATAGTTTTAAAGGAAAAATAACATAGTGATTATTAGCACAGAGTTCCCCTAAGAAGTTTTTTACTTAAAACATTTCTTGTTGAAATCAGGGTTTTAAGTCCATGATTATTAGGTTATAAATTAGCTATGTACCAGAAACACTCAGAGAGCTTTATAATAAACAACATATTATAAGCCTCCATCTCAGAATGATTACATGAGTAGAGGAGTCCAAGAATCAGTATTTCTTAAAAATCCCCATTTGTTGTTATCTTTTGGAATCAATGTTAGAGCCATCATGGAGGTATTTGGTGTGAATGGTTAAAAGTAATATTTAGGGCTTTGGGATTCGGGTAGCACCATGGAATCTACTTAGACCCATACCTCCTCTCTCTTTTCTCCTAAAACTGTACAATACAAGAAGAATGAATGAAGCACCCGCACCTTTTTTTTTTTTTTTTAGCAAAGTTGTGAGATCGAGAATACACTGAATAATAATGTATGAAATATGAAAAACGAATAGAATCCAAAACAACTGAGAAAGCCACAGTGGTGTCCACGGGAGGAAGCCAGATGACCCACAGGTGGCAAAATGTATTCTGCAATTCCCCCTCTCCCAAATCAATAAATAGTTATTCTCAGAAGGATGAGACACACCCTCGGGGGGAATTTTTGAGGTCCTGTCTGAACACGAAATGGGTGAGGAAGAGAGGCAGGGAAAAATGGTGTGGAGAGCATACAGGGAACAGAGGTTATAGAATTCTTTTAAACCGCATTATTCTAAAAAAGGATTGTTGTGAATTATGTAAGATAAAATAAATAAAGGGGTTTGTTTTATGAGGCAGGAACTTCATCCCTGGTGGCGCTGGCTAATAGTGTAGTCCGAAAGGAAACGTCAGTGGGGGAACCCTTGTGCAACAAAGAAGGATATGAGAATCAAAGGAAATCCAGTCACCACAAGTCATCATATACAAATAAACTGTCACTTAGTAAGAAGAGGATGCCCTTGAGATTAAAAAAAAAAAAAAAAAAACTGGGAAAGCTGTCCTAACACTTCCCTCTTTTAGAGGGTCTTGATTCAGGAAAATTCACCTAATTCAAACTTAAGAAAAAATCCAGTTGTGTACATAATATTAGGAAAAAAGGAATATAAAGTTTCGTCAATGGAAGAAGAAGAAACCAGGAAAATGCCGTTACAACCTGGAGAAGAATTGCCCCATTTTCAACATGAATTTTGGAACTTAATTAAGCAAATGGATCACAAAGCAGAAATAAAGGAACCCAGGGAAGAGATGGCCAGACAATAAGATGATGTGAAATAAGAATTGAAAGAACTAAGAAAAGAAATTGAAGGACAAGGGAAAGTCCCTTCAGAAACAAAGTCCAAATGACAAGGGGCTGAAGGAGGAACTGATGCTCCAGAAAGCACAGCGATACCATAAAAATGAAAAAACACAAAATCTGATCTGGGATGTAATGAGTTTAGAAGTTGTCACTGCATCCTAACAAGTAAAAAGCTGAACAAACTGAAAGATTAACAATTCTTAGATCCGTTAGCAAAGTGAGGTCATAGGGCAAATGTCTACACCAAAAATGAGAGAGAGACACACACACAGAAAAATCACAATTTACTGGAGCAGAGATCCACAAGAAGGAACATCCATGGGAACCAGTGGGGGGATAATAACTTTAAACTTCATTTGATGAGAAGAAAATGCCTCTAGATGGACCCAGTTACAAGGACCCTTCTTCACTTTTTCAAGTTTAACTCCAGGAGTCCTCCCAGGTTCTCACCGTAGATATTAGAGAAAAATCCCTTTGTGCTTCCGGAAAGGGGAAGAAAGCGGAACCATTTTGAAATATGCCAGAGCATTCTGTTTTTCTTCACAAGACCCGCCCTCCGGAGAAACTATTTTACTAGAATCTAACCTACTGGAGTTTTACTGAAGCTAGACTTCCCTTAGAGAAGGGAAATCCCTAACTCCACCTTCTCTGTCTGGGCCTTTCACATGGGAGAAGGGAAGTACCCAGCTCCAGCCCCCTGTACCTATCCTGTCCAACCTACAGGAAAGAAACATTGAGAAGCACTAGTAAAGGTCATAGTCCAAAGGGCACAGCTTCACCAAAAGACCAATTCCTAATCATAGGACCATAGAATACTGCTACTCCCCTATTCCTTACCACCACATTACTGAAGGACTGGTTACTGCAGTTTCTTTTACCCAGTACATTAAGTCCACCTTGCAATAAAAATTTATAAGGCATACTAAAAAGTAAAATAGAATTAAAACAGTTTGAGGTGACTAAGTAGACGTCAGACCCAGAATCAGATACAGCAGGAATGTTGATATTATCAAACCAGGAGTTTTCAAATACTATGATTAATAATGCTAAGGATTTTAGTGAAAAAAGTAAATATGTAAGAAGATCCAACATTTCCATACAACATGCAGTGCTCATCACAACCAGTGCACCCCTTAATCCCCATCACCTATTTAACCAGCATCCCCACTGACATCCCTACTGGTAACCATCACTTTGTTCTCTATAGTTAAAAGTCTGTTTCTTTGTTATCTTTGCTCCTTTGTTTTTGCTAAATTGCACATATGAGTGAAATAATGTGGTATTTGTCTTTCTCGGACTTGCTTTGCTTAGCGTAATACTCTTTAGCTCCATCCATGTCAATGCAAGTGATAAGATTTATTCCTTTTTATGGCTGAGTAATATTCCACTGTATATATGTATACCACATCTTCTTTAGCTATTCCCAGTTGATGGACACTTGGGCTGTGTCCATATTTTGGCTATTATAGATTATACTGCTATAAACATTGGGGTGTATGTATCCCTTCGAACTAGTATTTCTGTCTTTTAGGTAAATACCTAATAGAGCAATTGCTGGGTCATAGGGTAGATCTATTTTTAACTTCTTGAGGAACCTACATATTGTTCTCTAGATTGGGTGTTCCCACCAACAGTGTAAGAAGTTTCCCCTTTCTCCGCATCCTGACCAACATCTGTTGTCTCTTGTGTTGTTGATTTTATCCATTCTGACAAGTGTGAGGTGATACCTCATTTTAGTTTTGATTTACATTTGCCTGATGATGAGTGATGTTGAACATCTTCTCATGTGTCCATTGGCTATCTGGATGTCTTCTTTGGAGAAGTATCTGTCCATGTTTCTGCTGGATCTCTGCCCCCTCCCCTCCACTGTTATCAAAATCTCATATTTTGATTGGATTGCTTGTATTTTTGGTGTTGAGTTTTATAAATTCTTTATATATTTTGGATAACTAGTCCTTTATCAGATATATCATCTGGACCAGTTTAGTTTTGTTGATTGTTTCCTTTGCTATGCAGAAG